ATGCAAGGCAGAAATTTCCCTTACTGGTTGATAACTTGAAATAGTGGGGTTGCTTGAAAGTCCCCATGTTTCACAAACTTGGCTGGTGGGAGTTGTGTACTCTCAGTAGGGTAAAACCAAACTTGTCAAAGGAGAGAGTCCAAACACAAATTAGTCTCCTACTCCTTCAAGTGGGGAGTAGAGTTTTTAGGGAAGGAGATACAGTTGACTGTAAAACATTTCTGCAGTGAATATAAAAGGGAAAAAAAAAGAAGCCAAATACAACTTGGATTAAATAAATATGTTAATAGATCTAAGTCATTGTGGAAGTAGTGAGGAAGGCAAATAAAAATTTTGGAAAAGAGTGCCCAGTTACTAAGAGTCTAAGGGCATCTTTGAAGCAGAGTACCAGCCTATTCAGCCTGGTGTGAGCCCTCTAATGAACAGGCTCCGGAGAACCGCATTACCTTGGAGTAGGCCAAATAGCAACTCAACCTTCAGATCATTATCATGACTACCATGCCAACTGATACAGAGCTAACACAATGTTTCTACTCTTTCAGTTCAATAGCAGAGTGGGCGTCTGGAAATGTCATCATTTTGGCAATCAATCAATCTATTAAAGTCACTGCTGAAAGGCCAAACAGATTCTGTTATGCTGAATGAATTGCAGCCCCGGCTGAGGCTGGAAATGATATGGAAAATGCTCCCGCTGCAGCCTTAAGAAAAAACACCTTCCTCCCCAAAAAACCAGCCAGGGTGTAGCTTGGTTCTTAGTTTTTATTACTGAGATGCAGGTTTGTTAAAAAAAAAAAAAAAGAGCAGACTTTAAAAATAGTGCTTTCAAAATGTTTTGCTGAGCGAGTGGATGATAATAAAATGAGCAAGAATAGCGTATCTCAGTTGAGATTTCTTGGGGGCACCTTCCATTCCTCTTTCCTTGGGGAGTACCTGCATGTCTTGTGGTAGCTGTGAGAGTTTGTGCACGCTAGATTATCTGCAACATCATCAGCTGTGCAATGTGATGGTGCTCCAACCTGTGGTACACAGCAGACTAATGTTTTCAGCAGGCTTAGCCATTCCCAATCATATTTAAATGCACAAAGAGGACTATGCCTTAGCCATTATTATTATTTTATTTTTGCATGGTGGTTACATCTGCAGGCCTCAGTCAAGGGAGAAGACCCAATGGTACCAAAAAAGACCGATCCTGCTCAGTAATCTCAGAGTCTTAATCCACGACAAGAGACAGCAGGTGGATATAAAAACCAAATCGCAGTGGGGGAGGATAAGGTAATGCCAATGTGAACATGTTTAGCATAACAAGCAGCAGTCAGAGCATCCCCACTGTCTAGTTATTTTGAGTGCCACCTTGATGCGATCTCCAAGAAACATAGCAGCAGCAGATGCCACATGTGAGGATGTTTGCTTGTGAGTAAGCACCTAGGCATTGAGGACAGAAATAAAACCACCAAACTCATTTCACAGGAACTTTCAATGCCTGCTAAGCTGAGGAAGATTTGAACTAATGACCAACAAGTGAGAGAAAAGCCTCTTCCTGGTGTTCTCCTAGATCCCTTCTTTCTCGTGCTGTTTCTTTTAAAGGTTCCACTTATCCATGAACTCTTCACAACCATGAAATGAATCCACAGAGCCAATCAAGAGGTAGCTGCTAAACCCAAACTAATAGCTTCTGCTGACAACAGTCACCTACAGTCTTTGGACTTTAAAGGAGTAGATATTTTTATGAATAATGGAGGGGCACATTTCCAGTGTGAACAAATGCCACAAACTATGGCTAAGGAGATGGAACTTCACCCTGGGAAGAACAGAAACAGTCATTTTTTTCTGTGGCTACTGCCTGGGATGAACACTATGATCAGGGGGCAGCTGGGACCAAGTAGGTGAGATGTAGATGCACTAATTCTGGCTTTTCCCAACCCTTGGGTGTTTGACTTTGCAACCTTCATAGTATTTTAATGTGGCTTTTGTGTGCAATGATATTAAAAGGAAATAATGCTAACTAACTAAAACACACAGCTGAAATGTCTCACCACTTGAGCTTGGTCACAGCTGCAAGTTTAACATCAAACTTGTGGGCTTGGGATTGGTTCAATGAAATGGAGATGGTGAGGGGGACAAGAGAACCCTAAAGTTTGGAAGCCCATCTGGAGTTGTTAAAAATGTCTGGGCGCCAAGATTTGACTTGGGCACACCTTGCATTTGAAATCTAAATGTAAAATTCTTCCCCTGTTGCTGTACATTAAAAAAAAATTACTATAATAAAGCCCAAAGGGAAATGCATATAATAAATCCTTCAGGAGTTTTTCCATGAATGAATGGATGGCAAGAAAGACAATGAAATCCCAGCTGAAGATCATTTCATGCAACATTCAGGTACAAACCCAACACTTACATTGAAACCAAATGAGCGTCTCCACATGAAACTAATGCTTAATGAGAACTCAGAAACTTTTCCAGCATCCTCACATGGCTATCACAGGTATTCTTTCTCGGCTGTAATGATATTAGCCAGCCGATCCAAGTCTTATGTTTTAATCATCATGAAAACTCGGCCAATTTCCCTCACATCTTAAAACATAATTTCAAGATTGGCAAACAAACCTACCGTTAATGCTATGCAGTTTCTGCAATACACACTAGCTGTGTGGAAACTATGCTAGTTTCTTGACAGGAGAACAGTAAGTAGTTTAAATTTCAGGGCCAGATCTGGAAACCCTTCTTTGTTTTCATTCCCTTATGCCTTTGAGCCAACGTTGTGGCGCTGAAGTAGATAAAATTAGTGTTGAAACAGAGTTTTCTCCTAACCAGTGAAAGCTGTTATTTTTATGAGCGTTCTTTTTATTATGGATTACTAGTGGTTAGGATTCCTTCCAGCTGGAATGCTAACCATTGGTAATCCGCATGACCATTTCTAAACCCAAACCTTTTAACGTAGGCATAAAACAAAAGCCTTGTCCTCTGGCACAATTACCAGCACAGAGAGGAGAGACAAAAATGACTTTTTCTGTTCTTCCCAAATAGTTTTTACTGGAGTGTGTTGTGATAACACCCAAATAATTCATTTACAACAACACAGCCCTCGGCATCAAATTCAGTTTTGGAGCCTTATATGGAATTCTTCCAATGTATTAGGGAGCCCATTGTCCCAGAGGTACATTCCTGAGGCAGTGTGGAGATACTTAGAGACCATGGGCTGAAGAGGTGTCAGCTACACCCTTTTCCAGGGTGTGGGATGTGTTTTTCCCAATGTTGGACCCAGCCCTGCTGTCACTCTGCTTTGTATAGGGAATCTAGCAACGCAGAGGACCAAAGGACAGAGGCTGACTTGTCCCTTTGTGATGGTGCAACACAGAGAGGAAGGCTTCTTTGTCTTCCTTCCACCAACCTTGTGCAGACCAAGCCGTCTGGTGCTCTGAAAACAACAGCATCTCCTGTTCCTCATAGCTGATGAACTCTTCTCTTGATATCCCTTGTGTTCAAGCTGCTGCTTTTCTCAGTTCTTCTGGGAGAGTTGGGTTAGGTACACCTTGTTTCCCACCCCTCATCTTGGTACCAGGTCTACAATGCAAAGCCTTACGGCTGAACTGAACTTTAGTTGCCCATTCAGCCAATAAGAGGTTCTCTTGAGATGGCCTTCCTCCTCTTTCTCTCCAAAGCACAAAGCCCAGCAGCAGTAACACAGAGGCCTTGCTTATATAGGGAATTCTGCAAATCATACATTTTCCTGAATTGGAATTTGTTCTGGTGGGAACCCCTATGCACACAGGACAGGCAACCAAATTAGTTTTCACCAACTTCTCCATATCATAAGAAACTCTCACTAAACAGTTAAGCCTCTTGCAGTGTTCAGCTCCCAGTTGCCAGGCCCATCAGTCTCCAGCTTCTAAAAAAACAACTGTCTGCAAAGTGTTGGTCACAATGGAGGTGGCTCTCCTTTTGACTCTGCTGTACAAGCCTGGGATGACCTATTTCAGCTTTGGCAACTTATTCAAGACAGATACAATAAGGAGACAGCAATGCACTGTTGATCTCATCATTTGGTAGTTCATGAGAGACATCTCCCTCCGTTGAATGATTCCCCAGCTCCGCCAAATCAACTAAATGTCTCCTATATCTGGTATTGTCAAAGGGTTTATTCCTCAGCGGGTACACTTTTCTCTATGGACAGCTCTGGTAGCCATCTCCTCTTGCCTCTCAAATATGAATGAGACTGTGGAATAGTTTCTTGTGTAGCAGTGGAAGCCCCATTGAATGGGACACGTAACTAGTGTGAACAAAACACTGGAGGATTCATAATACAGACCAGTCCTGTGTTAGCCAGGAATGGCAGGGATGATTCCTTAGGTGTTTTGGTCCTTTATTTCTATAGTGCAGGGAACAAAACTCAAGTTCTGCCCATACTGACTTTTCTCTGCTACCTGCATCTGTTTGAGGTAGCCATGACCTTAACTATCATGTAACTGCACTAGCCTTACATCAGGCCATGTCTAGCTGTGGTAGCTGGGTTTGGTTTTTCCCCTCACTCAAAAAGCAAGACTTAGGGGGAGCAAAGTCAAACAGGACCAAGCGCTAATTGACACAGACCTTCTACAAGCCAGATCACTATATATCACAGTTATTTTAGCCTGCATTTTCTCAATGTTGAAATTTCATTCCTATCTCAATCATAATATCTCAATCCTTCTCTGAATTGCTTTCCTTCTCTTTCCTACACATTCAATGTTGTTCTTTAAAGGAAAAAATACCCTCTGCAAACAAGCCGTTGGCAAGCTTTGTTGCCCCGAGGCTTTTCCTATGGAAACTCCAGACTTCTGGCACCTACAGAAAGAGCAGTTTATCAAATGACAGTTTTCTTTGCAATGCCTCAGCAAGTGCTTCGCAGCTGTAAGCCACTCCAAGCAGAATTCACCTCACTCTTTTCAATGCTTTTTCTGTCTCCTAAGTTATAGCTAAGTAAGAGGGTAATTAGGTTTCAACAATTAAAATGATTTACTTACTGTATGTAACAGCCGGAGCATCTCCACGTATCTGTGGAAAAAAACAGAACATTATTAATTGCCACCAAGCTAATGCTGAATGAAGCAGGGGTGGAACATGTAACTGCATTTACAAAATAACAGCCAGATGATAATGATGTACTCACATTTTTTCTGAAGACATCAGCTCCTGGGCAATGAGGTGAGCTCTGGACTGTCCTCCTTTCTGTTGAAAACAAAATCACAGGCGTTAGGAAATCTCCCCTTCCAAAAGAGAAAACTGTAAGAGCCAGAGAACTTATTCAATTTATGTGTTCCTTGAATTTGGGGCAAGGACCATACATTTATTTTGCATTGGAGTAGTGCATAACTCACTGCTCCATGGGTCGGATTCACTGGGGCTACTGAAACACGAATACATAAATAACAGTAATATGCTAACGGCTGTAAATGCTGACAGGCTGTCAAGGTTTAAAACGCCCTATCTTATCAAAGTCAGAAAGAAAACCTCCATTATTTCCAATGGGCGCAAAATTTGGCAGAAACACAGACAGATCCTAACAGCAGGAAGGTAATTTCAGGACTGACAGGGCTGATATGGTTTGTTCATTACATTCACTTGCAAGAAAAAGGGGGATAGCTTCTTAAAATATAGTTATATTCCAAACTGTTCTGACTGCTGTGCAAGCTGTGGAAGCAAAGAAGTCAAAGGGCTTTATTGCACACTAAACAAATTGACCAAATTAAACTGCAATAAATATATCAGGAAAACAAACAGCACGTTATTAAAGCAAATAGCATCATTTGAGATCACAGCGGCATGCGCTTAATTGGCAGAGATCTCAGAAGGCACGGAAACCTGCTAAAGAAGCAATGGCAATGGTTCTTAGAGGCGCAAAAGGCTAATTATGGTGCTTCCTTTCTATTTCATGAATCATTTTAAAGGTAAGAAATGGATAAAAGCACAGAATCCTTTATTGAAAAAGAAATCTTATACTAAGGCTACCAACTTGGTTAGCAGTTGTAGTAAAGTAGGGCAGCAGCTTTCAGTGAATACATGCAATAGGAAATGGCAGAAGGTAGCGCAGGGTGGCACCTTAGGCTAACTGGTTCAGAGAGGCATAGTTTTTTGTAGGAGACAGTGTACTGCAGATGCTGACAAAGTAGACTTGTGTCTACAAAAGCTTATGCCTCTCTGACCCAGTTAGTCTCTAAGGTTCCACCCACCCTACCTTCCTCCTGATTTCAGACAAATATCTCTTTCTAGTAATAGGAAACCAGTAATTCCTTCTCAGTAGGCAGCATCAACGGTATCAGTTATAAAGGCCAGGTGTGTCATTAATCCATTGCTTTATAAAGTTCCAGATCTGAATGCCATATGACTTCGGTAAAGTTTGGATTACATTTGAACTTGCAGCGGAAGTCTGTCTCCAATATTTACACACTTGTGATAAGAGAAATGTGAACAGTAATTCCACATATTCTCCAGGCCTTTTCCATCTCTGGATATATAATCTTGTGACAACTGACACCTGTACCTCCAACATCTCTGGTCCTTTCCAAGTCAGGCTGGAAATAGGATAATAAAGGTTTAAAAAGCAAAGGGAAGGCTGAAACATTCCCTGGAAAATGATGGGAATCTAGCAGTGTGGTTACTGGTGCGTGAAAAACCCCAGTTGTGAAACTGAGTAAAATGGAACCAACTAATCTGATTTCCATTCCCATTACTCACAAACAGCATACGGGGGAAAAATCAGAGTAAACGATCAAGTGCAAGTTATGCTTTCAAAATTCCTCCAGTTAGGCTTGTTATTTTCCTTCGGTATGAAAACTGCAGCTTCAAAAAATGAGTCCTAAAATTGCCCTTATTAATGTAATCGAGGTTTATTCAAAATACGCTGCAAATAAATCCAATTTTTTACTGATCAAATAAATGAAAGGTATGGAAGAGTTTCACCAAGGAAGATGATCAGGTGCCCTGGTCTGCAAGCTTGTGGGTTTTCAACCTAGTGGTGATAATTCCAGAGGAGGATTAGGCACAGATCTCAGGAGGCGCGTCTACACATCACCCTACGTCACCATACCGATGTGCTATGTCACTGTATGGTGCGTTATGGCAACATAGGTATCACATGAGTCTACATGTGACCGGCAGCTACTTCACCATAGCGGCATGATCCCCTATTTTAGAGTGCCGCTACAGTAAAGTAGTGGCTAAAACTAACCGTGCGCCACACGCATGACGCAGTACTGGTGGTTACTTCCAAAGGGAAGTACTAAAGCATGGCACAGAAACAATGTCGCCATAGGGCAACATATAGACATGCCCGTGGAAGTGTGGAAGAAGTTCAGAACCACTGCTAGAAGAATGAGGCTTCAGGAATGGAGGAGGCACAAAATGACCCAGCTTGCCCAGTTTTAGTCTATTTAGTTTAATCTGACCAAGAGACAATCAGAAGATGTTGAGAATCAAATTATTCACTGGATTCAGCCATCTAATCCATCTCTCTACCAGCTCAGGATTGTTCTATTGCTTCATCCACTCTAGTTTTTCATGTGTCAAACATTTCTGCTGCAACCTCTTCCCTTTAGGATGCTCTTCCATAGGCTAAGTAAGAGAACTTGATATAAAAAAATGTATTTACCCTAAAAGCCATCTTATATTTTGCCTTTGTTAATTCATACTATTCTTCAGGTACCTTTTATATCACAGTGACTATTTACTTGCATTCTTTTGTGTGTACAACTTACCAGCACTTCTAGAAAGTTACCCTGTTCCTCTCTTGCTTGTGACCAGTGATGACATGTATCATGCAAGGTAGGTACATAGGAGCTGCCAAGCTTCAACAGCTAACACCAAAATACTCTAAGTGCTTTATTTTCCCTGCCCTTTTGACTAGCAGACATAATAAAGCAACTGAATGGGACTTTTACTGCTGGATCACCAAACCCAATACTGGCCACTTTGCACGTCCTCTCTTGACAAGCCTGGCACTTTGCTGCCAAGGAGAGTATATTTCACCATTGGTCTGGGCCGTCTCTCTCTTCGTGTATACAGATTGTCGCAGCTTGTAATTCTACTGTGATTAATATGTCTTAGCTGAGAGACAAAACACTGGGACCCCTGGTGTCACATGACCTGTCTAGGGTGAGTTTTGAGACAGTGTCTCTAGGCGTTGCCCGTCTTGTGTTATTTAATTACTGTTTGTTTAACCAGGAAATGAACTCTGAGATTGACGACAGTGTCCGGAGACGGGCTTCTGGGAATAAGGGGATGTTGGGGGTGCGGGTCCTTCAACTATCAAGTTTCTAAAACAAAGCCCAAGTGATTATTAAAACACAACTGAGCTGCCACCTTTTTAGAGATCTTTACTAACTACTCTTCAGCCCAGCAGGAAGCTCTTTTGAATGCTTCCCTCCCAGGCTCCTGCTTCAGTAGCTGTGCACTCCAATCCCTGTTGTTTGCCTGTGCAAAGCAGATGGAAACACTGGATCTAGACAGGGATTCTGGCTTTACTCCTAGCAGAGTCTCACTGCCTTTAATAGCTTCATCTCCACCAGAATCTAACGCTCACAAAAAGCTTGTGACTCACCACCAGCATGTTTCATAGTTGTTAGGGCTGGTAGGGTCGGAAGGAACCTGATCAGATCATCAAGTCCAACCCCCTGCCATGGGCAGGAATGAATGCTGGGATCATATGACCCCAGCTAGGTGATTATCGAGCCTCCTTTTGAAGACCCCCAAGGTAAGGGCGAGCACCACTTCCCTTGAAAGTTGGTTCCAGATCCTAGCCGCCCTGACTGTGAAGTAGTGCCTTCTAATGTCTAGCCTGAACCTACTCTCAGTCAACTTGTGGCCGTTAATCCTAGTTACTCCGGGTAGTGCTCGGGGGAACAGGGCCTCTCCCATTCCCCGCTGGTCCCCCCTGGTAAGTTTATAGAACTTATAGCCACCAGATCCCTTTCAGCCTTCTCTTGTGGAGGCTGAACAGGTTCAGGTCCCTCAGCCTCTCCTCGTAGGGCCTGCCCTACTGCCCCCTGACCATGCGAGTGGCCCTCCTCTGGACCCTCTCCATGTTGTCCACATCCCTCCTGAAGTGCGGCGCCCAGAACTGGATGCAGTACTCCAACTGCAGCCTGACCACTGTCACATAGAGGGGGAGGATCACCTCCTTGGACCTGCTCGTGATGCATCTATGGATGCATGACAAGGTGCAGTTAGCCTAACTGACCACTTCCTTGCATTGGCGGTTCATGTTCATCTTGGAATCAAAAATGACTCCAAGATCCCTTCCTGCCTCTGTGCTGATGAGAAGGGAGTTCCCCAGCCTGTAGGTATGTCCCCTTGGCTACTCTGCTGTCAACAGTTGATGGCATTTCCATATAATAACATTTCTCTTACATTGGAATATGAGGGAAAGTGAGTTCTTTCACAGTTGGTGAAAACATCTCAAAAGGGAACCAGGGGAATCCTCATTCCCAGGTAATTTAAAATGGGATTGAACGAAACACTGGAGAATATACAGTGAGGAGCATTTATAGGATAATATAATCTAAAAGATCTTTCCCACCATTTCTACCATCCTTCATGGCTTGGAGCCAGCCAGTACATGGCTTGTTAAGCAAACAATTCTCATGCTGTGTCCAACTCAAGGAAATGCAATCAAGCTTTTAGTGCTTGAACCATCTCTTCACAGAGAGAGATTGCAAGGCAAAAAAAGCAATGACCAGGTTGGCTTACAGGTTTTCCTTCATATCACCCCTTCTCAACAAATACCTCTAAAATAAGTTGTTATGAATCTTCTAAGCACATACCCAAAAACTCTTCCAAAAGAACGCCACTTTATGGCAAACCACTTCTAGGAGCAACTACTGGCATAACTTTAATTTCCCCTTAGATTTAGAAACAGCTGATTCCAATACAGCACCAAAAAACATTAGTATCTGATGAAGTAACCTGCAGCTTATGAAAGCTTATGCATTTCTATTATGGTTAGGCTATAAGGTGCAAATCTCCCCTGTCTTCTGCCTGACTTCACACTATAATGGCTAGCTCAATCAGTTGATTCAAAGTCACCTAAGTTAACTCTTTCTGTTTATAGGCATCAAAAAGAGCAGGGACAGCAAAAGCACAAAAGCACACTTGAGAGTGTGCCCAAGAAGGGGTTTAAGAGGCTAAAGAATCAGCAGGCTAAGTGTTTTCATTCTGAGATATCTACTGAAGAC